AAAAATAGGCTACAATAGATCCATCTCCCTGCCTTGTGGCAATAATTTGATTTCTCAGTTGATAAGCCCTAGCAACATTCTCCCTTTGTGAATAGGTTTCTGCAACCCCATCCMATATCTCCTTAGCAGTGTTTGCCCATAAAAAATTTTTACTTATATGTGGCAACATAGAATTACACAACCATGTCATTACCATATAAYTTTCCTRCACCCACCGGGAGTTGCYAGTTTCGGGTTTCACCTCTTCACCAGTAATATACCCCAATTTTCCACCAGCCCCCAATGGCCATCTTTGCAGATTGGGACCATTCCAAGTAGTTTRTACCATCCAACCTAACTGTAGTAATGGTCCCAGCTCTGAAGGGGTCTCCAGCACCTCCTCCCACTGGTCGCATTTCATTCCCGGGCTTATATTCAACTCTGTGTCCCTCCATGTGTCTCAAAAGAGGTACAGAAAACAACCAAAAAATGCAGCAAGAACAAACAAAATACCTTCTGGAACCAACAACACTCCTTTGGTGTCCTGGACTTTCTTCCCACGAAAGATTTCTTTTCTGTGGGATGGGAGAAGAGAGAGAAAAAGCAACCACCCTCTCTAGAAGCCTCCAAACCACATGGAACTTGAATCGCCCCTTACAAAAAACCTAGAGGAACCCTAAAAAATTAGGGCGCCACTACCTAGGTCAAAATTGAAGAGTCCAACAAAAGCAGGACTCTTCCCCTTTCTCCAGTTTTTCCTGATTCTGATGAGAAACCCTAGACCAGCTACAAGTCATACAGATCCATCAAGAAAATCCAAAAACTGGGCTTACCTAAGAGCTTCGATCAGCCTCTTAAATCTCCATGTAGTCGGCCGATCTAGGGCTGCAGGAGTGAATCTCTTCAAGAACCTTCAACCTGCTCCGGTACCAAGTAGAAAGCCTTATGTGCTGATTCGGCCAAGCTTCTTGTGAAAGGAAGAGGAGAAAGTTGGGGGTTTCAACAATAGACAGAGGAAAGGGAAGAAAAGGAGAAGGTCGACTAGGATAGTGATTCATAACCCTAGCCGCCAGCCCCTCATTCTATTTATAATTAACTTAAATATAGGATATTACAAAGATGCCCCTAGTAGGGCGGCAACTCAANTTCTGCAACCCCATCCCATATCTCCTTAGCAGTGTTTGCCCATAAAAAATTTTTACTTATATGTGGCAACATAGAATTACACAACCATGTCATTACCATATAAYTTTCCTRCACCCACCGGGAGTTGCYAGTTTCGGGTTTCACCTCTTCACCAGTAATATACCCCAATTTTCCACCAGCCCCCAATGGCCATCTTTGCAGATTGGGACCATTCCAAGTAGTTTATACCATCCAACCTAACTGTAGTAATGGTCCCAGCTCTGAAGGGGTCTCCAGCACCTCCTCCCACTGGTCGCATTTCATTCCCGGGCTTATATTCAACTCTGTGTCCCTCCATGTGTCTCAAAAGAGGTACAGAAAACAACCAAAAAATGCAGCAAGAACAAACAAAATACCTTCTGGAACCAACAACACTCCTTTGGTGTCCTGGACTTTCTTCCCACGAAAGATTTCTTTTCTGTGGGATGGGAGAAGAGAGAGAAAAAGCAACCACCCTCTCTAGAAGCCTCCAAACCACATGGAACTTGAATCGCCCCTTACAAAAAACCTAGAGGAACCCTAAAAAATTAGGGCGCCACTACCTAGGTCAAAATTGAAGAGTCCAACAAAAGCAGGACTCTTCCCCTTTCTCCAGTTTTTCCTGATTCTGATGAGAAACCCTAGACCAGCTACAAGTCATACAGATCCATCAAGAAAATCCAAAAACTGGGCTTACCTAAGAGCTTCGATCAGCCTCTTAAATCTCCATGTAGTCGGCCGATCTAGGGCTGCAGGAGTGAATCTCTTCAAGAACCTTCAACCTGCTCCGGTACCAAGTAGAAAGCCTTATGTGCTGATTCGGCCAAGCTTCTTGTGAAAGGAAGAGGAGAAAGTTGGGGGTTTCAACAATAGACAGAGGAAAGGGAAGAAAAGGAGAAGGTCGACTAGGATAGTGATTCATAACCCTAGCCGCCAGCCCCTCATTCTATTTATAATTAACTTAAATATAGGATATTACAAAGATGCCCCTAGTAGGGCGGCAACTCAAACTAAGTACTTACAATTCTTTTAAAAATAAAAATCTAATGGGCCCAAGGCCCAACAACTTCTTAATTTAAAAGAAAACAAACTAAACATAAATCGGCCCACTCAACACAGAAGGACAGTGGACTTTGGAAATATGCAAATGAGAGAAGGGGACTAAGTGGCTAACTCGGGGGTTCGAGGTTCAATTTCAGTGTATGAAGAGGACTGCAAATGCTTTTGCAGATACTTTGGCAAAGCAGGGGGTGGGAAGGAAGTAAATGTTTTGGGCCTTATTGTAATTGTTATTTTTGTTCTTTTCGAGAGAGTTAAGCATCTTTATCTCTTCCCGGAATGCTGTAATTACCTTCATCTTTAATGAATTGATTTTTTTTGTTACTGATAAAAAAAAAAAACTTATTTGTTATCTATTGGCAACACTACTTGTTTTTTAAATTGCTTAGTAACTTTTCTTCCCCATTCATGTGTGTTTCAAGATTTGGCCTTTGGGAAGATGATTGGTAGAGGGAACATGGTAGATGGTTTCTACGTGCTTGAGTAAGTTATTTGTAAGTTGTGTTTATTTGTGTCTTAATCGCCTTGGTCATATGTCTTTTGAGTCATTAAAGGTTTTGTTTCCAAAGTTCTTTAAGTCGGTATCAGTAGTTGAACAGTGTCAAACATGCCATTTAAGTAAGCATTGTAGAAGTTCTTTTCCATTAAGAAATAAAATATCAGATTTTCCTTTCCATGTTGTTTATTTTGATATATGGGGCCCTATTACTCTACCTTCTAATCTGAAACCCGCTACAAATATTTTATCACACTTATCGATGACTACTGATACACATGGATTTATATGATGCTTTCCAGAGATAAAAGTACCCAAAATTATAAGATATTTCCAATGTATGATTTTCACCCAATTTCAGACAGAGATTCGAATATTCCAGTTAGATAATGCAAAAGAGTATTTTCATGGTGACCTTACTAGGTTTTTTGCTTCGTGTGGATCTCTTCATGGGAGCTCTTGTGTAAAGACACCTCAACTGGGAAAGGTTGCTAAAAGAAAAAATCATCATTTCCTTGAGGTTGCTTGGGACTTGTTTTTGCACATGCTTGTCCCTAAGCATTTTTGGATGGATGTTGCGTTATTTGCTGCTGATGCCTTCTCGATAGTTGGAGTATCAGACCTTGCACCAACTTCTCTTCCCTAAAGCTTTGTTTTTCTCAATTCCTATGCATGTGTTTGGATGTCAATGTTTTGTCCATGATCTATCTCCTACTCATGGTAAACTTGATCCCAAAGTTGTTCCCTATGTCTTCCTTGTCAATCCCTCCTCTCAAAAGGGGTACAAGTGTTTTGATCTTGTATCCCATAATTACTATATCTCCATGGATGTGTCTTTTCTTGAGATTGGAGGAGAGTAGGGTGAGGAGAAACCAATTCAGGTTCAGCTTCCTCTTCTCTTACATGTCTTCCTTCGTTGATGCAAGGATCGACAAAGTTTGAGAGTGTACAAGCGATATCATCAAATTCTTCGGAGGAAGTTCTCCTCAGCCAGGTACCCTTATCCCTATTGATGTTTCTGACCCTATTATTGTTGATACCTCCACTGTTAGTTATTTGGACCTTCCTATTGCCTAAAGGAAGGGTGTTAGATCTTGTACCACCAGCCATCTCATTTTCACATTATGTTTCTTATGAAAATGTCTTACATTCCTTTCATGCTTTCCTCTCTTCCATTGGCAATGTTCCCATCCTCAAGAATGTTGTAGAGGCTTTTCTTTGTTCCTAAATGGACAAATGTAGTAAAGGAAGAAATCAACGTGCTACATAAGAATGGTACGTGGATGTCGACAAGATATAATTTGCGGCAAATTAAGAAAGATATGATTTGCTGCAAAT